CAAGGAGGGCCAATCTTGCTGACCCATGTGAAATGAATATTTTCAAGACTTTTGTTTAATAATCCCACATTCAGGGCTTCAGCAAAGTACCTGACGGAAAAGCCTTTTCATGCAAGTTTTTAACTTTATCGACTTGGGGTATTAAGGCTCCCAAACGAGATACAGGTTTTTTACTAACCCATGAAACAATCATCAAATGACAGGGAGTGTCTTGAAGGAATATATGGTCGACCCCGTCTGGGTATAACTGTAGGCAGTCATTGTAAGACTGTAGATTAAGCCTTTATAGGAACATTGCCAATTTGTTATCCGTTTACCCTAAGGCCATTTAGTACCATAAGCCTTGGACAATCAACAATAGTTTTGGTTAAATTTCATGGTCTTTCTACAAATTGTGCGTTGAGCATGGGCAATTGCAAGTTTTCTATTTGTACAAGATGTAACATTTTTTGTAATTTTCCCTCTATATTTGCTGCATTCTTTTATAGGTATGGATAGTGCCCACTCTTATAACGACGTTGACGTCCTCTTCTCCGTTGATCTGAGCACCAGCAGTTCGACGATGCAGCGTGTCAAGACCACAGTTCTAGATGCTTTGATGAGCTTCCTACCATCCGGGGCAGAAGAGGAGTTCTCCATGATAACGGCGGCCGCCTCACCACCACTTATAGTTGCCCCGGCCTCGAATTTGCCCTTGGCTACTGCAGGATTCCAGCTACATCCGAGTCTGGCTGAAGCAGAATTGAATGAGCCCACTATCACAGTGACCAATGAAGAAGGAGGAGGTGAGCACTGTTACGGCGACATCAGGAAATACGAAGAAGAGGAGGATCCACTGTCAATTGGAAGGCTGAAAGATGAGCAAAATGGAGATGAGGAGGCTGCTCAGCTGAAAGATACAAAGAATAATGGGTGCAACCTGGGCGAGGAGGAGAAAGAGGTAAAACTAGGAAAAGAAATGACAGTGCTGGGCCTGGCTTCAGACATCGATGCCGGTCCCTCCCTACGGTCTCACGATGTCTCTTGTCCGCCTGTCAAGCTCATATTGGCTCGAGCTTTGCGCTCCAATTCTTGCAATGATCTCCTCCTGGCGGCTGCTTCTGCTGTCGTCGAGGACGGCGTGATACGAGGGCCAGCAAAATCTTATGAATCCACGGACACATCAGGAAACCCTCACTCTCGACCCGATCCGGCGACAGTGCGGCAAATGGTCAGCCACATTGCGGAGGCCAAATGGCGCTCAGCATCGCCGCTCTCCTGTCAAGTATCTGATGCATCTGCCGCCAGTTTGCCGGTCCCGGCCGCCTCAACTTCCAGCGTACCAACTGGCCGTATCAACTACGCACCCTTTCGCAATTCCACGTCTGATCCCAATTCATCGCTCGCTGCTGGCCGCGTTTTCGCCTCAGCAGAGGCTACACCATCAAGTCGATCGGTTGCCGGCGGCTCGAAGAGTCATGGTTCCGGCCTTGGCCGACTGGGAAAGGCGTTATGCTACAGTGTCTCGTGTTTGGCCTCCCCCTCGGCTGAACAAGGCCTGCCACAGATTCCTGGCGAGAGGGGCATTCAGCTGAAGAGTGTTCAGT